GGGAGGGCAGAGGGCGCCACCCTGTTTACAGCCCTCGCTCGTGGCCGGGGACCCCGCCCGGAAACGGTCTCCCGGGAGAGGGCCGTGAAGTGCGCACCCACCCGCGCCCGGGACGCCGGCCCGGCGGGGAAGGCGCCCGGCTCCGGCCGCCGCTCGGAATGAAACGGTCGCCTCGGCTCCGGGGCCGGGCCCGCGCGAGTCTCCGCTCCTCCGCGCTCCACCGCCCACGGCTGTTTCGTGTCCGCCCCCGGCACCACTGTGCTACGCACTTCACGCCCATCTCTCGGCTCCGGCGCTTCCGCAGACCACCCTCACGTGGCCAGGCACTCCCCCGCGACAAGGGCTGCGGACCCTGGCGCACTTCGGGACCCTGCGCCTGCTCCCACCCCGCGGGACGTCACCCCTGTCAGACCACCGAGCCCGCACTCCGCCCGGGCGGGGGGGGGGGGGGTGGCCACAAGCTGTCAAAAGCCTAGTTTTCCACATGACGAAGCTCACCCTCACCCTTAAACATCCCCACTCACCCTTCAGCCTAGCTTCGAGCTGAATCCGTATTTAAAACAGGAGGGGCGGGGTGGAACGTCTTGATTTTTCTCCCTAATTTGCAAAAAAAAAAAAAAAAAAAAAAATTAAGACGCAGCTCTGTCCATCCACGTCGTCCCACCAAATGCAAGACTTGCAAAATAGAAATGCCCACCACACACCTGCTACGCAACCAGCCCTCTGGAAGCCCGGAGACCCACCCAGCCCGCCTGCAGGAACCTGCGCCTGGGGTGGGGTGGGAGCGAGACCGTCCGGTCCCCGAAAGTAAGAGGGAGGGAGTGGGGCAAGCACCCCCTCGCCCCGCCCGGGAGCGCCGACCTCCCGTCCCCCAGGCCCAGAGCGATCCCAAGACAGCCTCCATCCCTCCCGGAGAAAAGGAGGAGGTAGCCCCAGGCCCGAGTGCCAGGGGTGTTTTTCCCTTTCTGAACCCAGACGCCGCGTCCTCCACAAGTACCCTCCCCCTCGCCGCCTGACTTCTAGTCGACAGCAAAGGTGGGGTAGGTGGGAGAAACCAGCGAGCGCTCTCCAGATTCGGGATGTTGGTTTCCGCGGAGTGAAGAGGTGGGATCTCGAAATGGAAACAGTCTCCCCCTCCCTCCCCCCCCCCTCCTCCTCCTCCTCCTCCTCCTCTTCTGTTTACCTCAAGTTTGAATTTTATCTGCGCAACATTAGCTGGAATGCGGACATTGAAAACACACACACACACACACACACACACACACTCTCGCTCTCTCAACCCGGCAGCGGCTCCGGAGGAGCCATGTGGCATCAAGCCACCTCAAAGGGGAAAAAAGTGCTCTTAGCAACACAAACATGGCGAAACCGCCTCGGCATTCCCGGCCAACGCCACAACCCCTACCTTCCCTCGCCGCGCTCCCGAACATCCCGGCCGTGACCTGCCGCCCCTTCCGGGGGGAGGCCAGGGGCCCCGGGGAGTCCGAGGGTGGGACCGCCGGGCGTGCGAAAGAGGAAATAACAGTCCACAGTGGAAATGTTTCTGCTGGACCATCGGACCCGTCCGCCTCGTCAGGAGCGAGGGGACGCCCCGTTCACCTCGACAGGGCTAAACGGGGAACAAAATTCCCACCCCAAAGTCCCGCTGGGCCGGCTCTCCCCACCCTCCACAACTTACCTTGGGGCGGAACGCACGCTGCCGCTAGAATCCCTTTCTCTTTCCTCCTTCCAGAGCCAGACGCGAGGAGGAAAATGATGCGCATGTATATTTGTAGAGCATATTCTTCTAGAATTTCCCTTTGATCGTCACGAGGAGCGATGGAGGCTCCGGAGACAGGTGCGGCGGTGGCCGAGGCTGCCGGCTAAAAGTTGTTCTCTCCGCGGTGGGCGGCGGGGTCCCCGGACCGGGGCTGAGGACCCCGTCTCCCTGCCCCCCCCCCCCCCCCCCCCCCGGCGTCGCCCACTTCTCGCTGGCTGCTGCGTGCGGCTCGGCTGCAGGGGAGGTGGCGTAGTTTCTCTTCCTCCCACCTCTTCTCACTCACTTGTTTTCGTAGCCGTGGGCTCCCCTAATGCTTTCCTCTCCACAATGTTGTTTCATTATATCATGTCCATCATGTGACACCGGAGAGGCCTCTCTATGGAAACTTAAAGGGGCTCCCACGTGACTGCAGCAGCAACAACAGCAGCAGCGGCTGGAGTGGCCGCGGCCGCAGCGTTCCTACCACCACCCACCGGGAGCCCCTCGCAGCATCCCGAAGGGGCTTCTGGCGCTGCAGGAGCCCAGATAAGGGAGCCACAGCATCCGGGAGCTGTGGCGTCTGTGCGTGCGTGTAGCCTTTGCTCGTTACATAGGAAACCGAACAGAAGGAGCGTCTTCAAATCCTTTCCTACAGTCGCAAAACCCACGCTCTGCTAAAATGACATTTCGTGGCTCCTACTTGATTTTCCCCAAGAGCAATGAGTTTTCTATCAGGTCTGATTAATTGTGTACCAAGTCAAGAAGAAAAACTGGATTCGTCTCTGCGAGTTCAGCCAGCTCTTGGGTAGAACAGAAATGACAAAACAATAATAACAGAAATAGAATCAGGCATCTGAGACATAATTACCATCACCACCAGCTTTAAAGCTTTCTGGAATTACATTCCTCCGGTAACTGTTGATGATGCTTGCAGGAGGCTAAATGCAATGCAGTTTTTCTCTTCCGCAGCTATATTAGGGCTTTGTTGCTGACAACAGTAAAAACTTGTTTGTGTCAGGAAGTGAGGTACGTAGATGTGACCTGGAAGGTACAAACAAAACCAAAGTGGCAGTGTTTGCATTAGTTTTCTGACCACATTGTTTCAAATGGTGAGAAGCAGCTGGTTTGCTGTAAAATGCTAGTAGCGTGTGTTTCGGTAGGAAATAAAATCATCAGAAAAACATATGTTTCCCTTAATCATACTGTACATGCTAGACCCTCGAAATTACACGTGTGTGTATGTGTGTGTGTGTGTGTGTGTGTACGTATGTGTGTGTACGTGAGTATAGAGAGAAAGAAAAAGAGCAGGTGCATTTTTAGGATAGTTGCAGCCAATAATTTTGTCATCATTTCCAGTGCATTTAACTGAAGCATTTAACAAACACTCTGAAATACGTATTCAAATCCAGTGCTGTGTGGAAACTGTAACATCAGTTTCGAGTGCCCTCCGGATTACTGAATCACCACCCCTTTAGGCGCTTATGCCTTAAATCCCAAATCTCTGCCTTAAAGTTTTTGTGGACCATGGAAATCCTGTGCTGTAAATCTGAGCTAAACAGCTACTTCTAGGCTTTAGTTCATGCTGTTCCATTTATAAGGAAAACTCCCTGTTTGTACTGGCGGAATTACGAAAAACTTCTCAGGAAACTAAAGGGTGGGATGTAAGATCACCCGTTCTTTTGGCTTTGCCTCGACTCTCTCTCTCTTTCCACCTCATCAGTTTACCTCATCAGCCATGATGAATGATCTCCACAACATCCCTTCTAATGCCATAATCTGTCCCCCAATTTTTACCTTCCTATGTAATGCCTAAATCCAACATCCCTTTCCCCTTTTGTGCCCTTGCCTCCCAGTTCAGCCCTCATGCTGCCTGGGTACTTAGCTCAGGCCTCCCCCAGTACTCCCTCCCGGTCCTCCCTCCCCTGCAGCTCTCCACCACTCCCCCCCCCACCCCAGCTCAGTCTCCCTTCTCAACAACTCTCCCTCCTTACCTCTCTTTGACCTCCTTTATTCTCCTTCACAGCCTGGCCCTTGACTTCTCGGCCTCTTCCTTCCCTGCAATGTCCTGCCCCTACTGGGGTCTCCTTCGCACCCTTCTCGCTGGTCCCATCCCTTCTGACGCCAAACCCCAGCACTCCTCAACGGCTCGGCCTTGTCGGCTTTAGCCTGATTTTGTTCCCATGCCCCTGGGTTGGGAAACAAGTGTGTGGTGCAAAGTGGGGGCAAGAATCCCCCTCGGCGGTGGCCCCAGCCTCGCCCCCCTCTGCCCCTCCCGAGTCCCGGTTGCGGCGCTTCCTGGGCGGATGGTTGGGACTCGCTGCAGCAGCTGCGGTTCTGCTGTGTCATGCAAGAAGGAGGCGGCGGCGGCGGCGGCCGGAGCCGGAGGGGGAGGAGGGGAGGAACCTGATCTCTCCGGTAGCGGAGGGCTGGAGGCAAACATCGAGCTCCCCCAGAGCCGCCCGGGAGCAGGGAGGGCACCGCTACCCCGAGGGGCCCTCCCCGCGGGGCAGATGGTAAGTGGGGCGGCGCAGGTGGTCGCCTTGGGAAGGGAGCGCGCAGGGAGGGGGTGGGGGGGTTAGGTGGGGAGGCGGGGAGAACTAGGAGTCACCCGGCCAAACTGAAGGAGCCCAGTGTCCAGTCGAAAAGGACCCAGGCCATAATAAGGATGACCAGCCAAACGCAGCAATAATTACCATTCTAATAACGCCCCGCAGTTGACCCAGGCTACAAAGAGGAGTTGTGCATCCCGAACCCAGGACAGAGCTAGAGCAATGATTCAGGGTTTGAAAACCACCGTCCCATCAGGCTTGGCGCTTTAGGGTACATCTGAGTAGCAGAAGTCAGCATACACCATATTTCCTATAGCCCGGCTGCGCTCTAAGGGTTGTCTTGCTTAAAACTAAGGAAGGGGATGGAAACCTGCCCGGCCTCACTTTAGCCACCAAAATAATGCTCTTGGCCAGGGGCCTCGGACAAACAGCCTCTGGTGCAATTAAACAATCAATAGGAAAAATAGCTTCATTCCCCCTCACCACCCTCCTTCCCCAAGCTCCTTCGACCAGGATAATGTAATCTGCATAAAATGGGGAAAGAAACCTCTGTGTTTTATTCCCTCCCATCCCACTTACCCACCCCCAGCCTCCGCCCCACACAAACTGCCACCCCACTACTCACCCCACTTTCAGACTGGGACTGATGTTGCATGAGGGGACTGCCCTAAACTCTCAACCGTTTCCCCTCCAACAGGAGATTCAGAAACAGGACTGAGAACAGTGAATGTGGGGAAAGGCTGGGCACCGACGAACATCTTTTACCTGATACAATTCTCAGGACAACTTTTTTTTTTTTTTTTTTTTTCAATTCCTTTCCATTTTGCTCCTGGAAATTTCAAAGCACTTTCTGAAATACCATTGCTTTCTTTCTTTTCTTTCTTTTTTTTTTTTTTTTTAATGTCAGTCATACATTTAGAAGTAAGGGGTTGGCGGGATTAACTGAAAGGCTAATGACGGTCTCAAAAGCACATGCTGTTGCTAGGGAACCCAAGCTCATTCTGCTCCGAACCCCTAGCATGTTCAGTGGAAATCAAACTTCTCAGGGTGTTATTAAAATGAGTGGCATTCGGTTAAAGGCGTTCTTCCTTGCGTTGTAGCATCCTGAATTATTATCGATTGCCTCACACCCACATATCTTGTTTTCCTAATTTGATTTCTGTATTTGCGTCACTGCCAGGGACATGCAGACTAGACCAGTCAGGTTCACTTCCTGTTTCTCAGAACTGGTTTATATTTGGTCTCCGTGCACTCGCTGGTAAAACATTATCAAACTGAAAACTCTTGGAAAGAAATCTCTGCTGTCTGTGAAAACAAATTATCCCAATTAAATTCTAATTCCCATGGAAAACGTCATCATTTGAGGAATAAATTAGACTGCCAGTTGCCATTTGAGAAAACCATTCTTGAGATGAAAGGCTTACAAAAATCTATCACCTTTATTTCCTTTACCCAGAATCCTCATTCCTCGGCATTAGAACTAAAACAGACTCAAGTAGAGAGTAGATTTAAGTATGATATTTCTAAAATGAAGCTCAAAAAATACACATGGAAGCTGGGGAGATCATTTAGACTAAATAAGGCATGAAATTGAATGGAATCCGGGCCCTGGGAGCACAAATAAGGTTGGGTTAGCATTGGGGCGCTCAGAGAACAGAGTGTGATTACAGGGCTACCCTGCAAAATAGGAACCCGTTACTTTCTGTACTAATTGTCTCTTTTACCAATTCCCCCTGGACAAGACGGGGGAATTCTTTTTTAAGGTCCTTCCTTTTTATGACAAGAATACTACAAAGGCGATATCATAAAAATACACACTATGTGAATAGGTGGGTTCTGGTGTGGATGATTTGTTTAGATGGAAAATAAAAGGGTGCTTAGAGGAAATATCAGGCAACTGGAAGTCAGGAAATTTGCCCCTACCCCTCCTTTAGACTGGCTGACCTTGGGCAAGCCATTCTAGGTCTCCTAGCATTGGTTTCCTCACAGAAGCTTAATGAAAGTGCTAGACTAAAGATGTCTAAGTTTCCTTCCGTTTGCAAAGTTCTGTGATTATATTGAAGTCACTACATAAAAATTTTAATTTTAGATGGATTTTGCAATGTTAAATTTTAACACTGGAACTTGAACGCCCATCCATAGAGACCTTGAGGGAAGGGACAATGGGATGTGATTTGCTGTCGATACATTATTTTTTAGTGTCAGTTACCAGACAACCAAACTAAAACCAACCTTACTCCCGATGTACTTACTCTCTTCTTCCTTGATGGTGTTGTAGAAGCAACAGGATAAGAGGTAGAAAGGATATAAAAGTGTATGGAAAGACCTTTTGGTCATTTTGGATTTAGTTAACCCAAGTACTTTGATGAACAAAACCGTGGAGTGATGAGGAAGAGCTAAACAAGAAATAAATAGTCAACTGAATCCTCATGGCGCTAATAATCTATTTGTCTATATTTTAATTAATGATAGGAGAAAATACACCTATCCCAGGTTTTCAAATTTTTCAGATTGAAGATGTAGCAAGAAGAAGGGTGAGATTTGTGCCACAGAGAAAAGACCTGACTCTGAAACCTAGCTCTGCCGCTTTAATTCATTCATGATTGCGTGCCTGCTGTGTGCCAGGTACTGTGTTAAGCACTGGGAATACAAAGATGAAGAGCACAGCCTGTTCTAAAGGACTTATAGGGGCGCCTGGGTGGCACAGTCGGTTAAGTGTCCGACTTCGGCCAGGTCACGATCTCGCGGTCCATGGGTTCGAGCCCCACGTCAGGCTCTGGGCTGATGGCTCGGAGCCTGGAGCCTGTTTCCGATTCTGTGTCTCCCTCTCTCTCTGCCCCTCCCCCGTTCATGCTCTGTCTCTCTCTGTCCCAAAAATAAATTTTAAAAAACGTTGAAAAAAAAAATTTTTAAAAATAAATAAATAAATAAAGGACTTATAGTGTAACAAGGAGACAGATGAGGACACGGTTGATCACACAACAGTGAGATAACATCAACAGGGAGCTTATTAGAGGGGTACCTAACCCTGACAGAACTTACCAGAGAAGATGAGTTTGGAAGCGAGTTTGGAAGGATAAACAGAAGTATCCAGGCAAGTGGGCAAGTTAAAGAGAAATGTTTTCCAGGCAGAGAACGTACTCTGTGTAGAGTCCTGGTAAAAGTTGTTGGGGTGCCTGGGTGACTCAGTCGGTTAGGCAATGACTTCAGATCAGGTCATGATCTCCTGGTTTGTGAGTTCGAGCCCTGCGTGGAGCTCTGTGCTGACAGCTCAGAGCCTGGAGCCTGCTTCCAATTCTGTGTCTCCCTCTCTCTCTGCCGCTCCCTTACTCACACTCTGTCTCTCTCACTCTCTCTCTCTCAAAAATAAATAAACATTAAAAAAAATTTTTTTTAAAGTTGTGCACAGAGAGTTGAAGGTGAAAGGCAGTGCCCAGCAAATAGTAGATTCTCAGTAAATGCATTGTATGAATGCTTGGCAGAGGTTCTAAAGGACATACCCAGAAAGATCAGCAAGGTCTTGTAATGGGAAAAGTCTTTTATTTCTTCCTAAGAGGTTTCAACTTATCCCAAGGCCCATGGAGAGACATTGAGGAGATCAAGGAGCACGCTGAGGGGATCAAGATTGTCCACTTTAGAAATTCTCCAGTTTGGGGAATTTATTAGTGTGATTAACACTGTGAGCAGAGAGACTACTTAGGCGGTTGTTTTAGTATTACAGGAAAGAAATGAGAAACATCAAAATATAGGGGGCAAGAATGGAAATGGAGAGAAGGGAAGGATTCGAGGACTATCAAAGACATAGAACCAACTGAATTTTATTATTGATTATATTTGCAAGATCAAGGAATAGGAGATTTATGGCTTAGGTAAATGGGAGGATCATGATACCATTTGCTAAGGTGGAGACTTCAGGAAGAACAAACACTAAGTGGAGGAGGGAAGGTAAGTAGTTTGATTTTAAACATGTTGCGTTTGAAATGTCCACAAGATATCAAAGTGAAGCTATTATGTAATTGACCAGGAGAGTCTAGAACATAATTCTATTATGTAATTGAACAGGAGAGTCTAGAACCCAGGAGAGAGAGCTACACTGGGGACATCAGAATAAGTGATAGCTCATGGAAGTAGATAAAACCCCCAAAAGAAAAGGTACAGAGTAAGAGGAAAAGAGGACCTACTCTGGAACCCTAAGAAAATGCCAGCATTTCAAAGGTGAGGCAAAGAAAAAGTAAGGAAACAAAGATACAGGGGAAGAACATCCATAAAGGTTAGAAGGACCAGAAACAAATCATTTCAGAGGAGCCAAGGGAGGAAATGTCAACAGTATTAAACGCTAGAGAAAGGTCAAGAAAAATGAGGACTTGGATTTCAGAACAAGGAGGTCATTGTGTTTGGCAAGAAGGAATTTATTGGGATAGAGGGGGGATAGCAACAGATTGCATGGGATTGAGGAGAGGATGGGGGTAGAGGAAATAGGTAGAAGTGGCTGTTTGGGATAAGAAAGAGGCCAGGGCAAGTAGAGAAGGAAAATAAAGGTATTGGGAAAAGAGTGAAATCATGGTACAAAACAGATGAACATAAAGGAAGGGAAGCAAAAATAATATAAAAACAGGGAGGGGGACAAAACAGAAGAGACTCTTAAATATGGAGAACAAACAGAGGGTTACGGGAGGGGCTGTGAGAGGGGGGATGGGCTAAATGGGTGAGGGGCACTAAGGAATCCACTCCCGAAATCATTGTTGCATCATATGCTAACTAACTTGGATGTAAATTTTAAAAATTAATTTAAAATTTAAAAAAAGAGTGAAATTGTGGTCTGTGAGGTAGAGGCTGCATAAAGAAATAAGGAAATAATACAGTGATACTCAATTCTTCATTCTTGCAGCCTTCTCCTCCAAACTAAATGTCATCACCGTGCACCCGTTCCTCAAGCCAAAAAAACACGTAGCTACTTGTGGTTC